TCACTGTTCTGGTTGCGCTGCTCTCCCGGTTGCATCCCCAGCCCTGGCTGCATCCCTGCCCTGGTTGCATCTGCTGGCCCCAGTTGCATTGCTGCCCCTGTTGCATTGCTGCCCCAGTTGCACCACCAGCCCCGGCTGCATCCCCAGCCCCAGCTGTGTCACCAGTCCCAGTTGCATCACCACCCCAGTTACATCACCAGCCTGTTTGCACCACCAGCTGTGGCACCAGCCCTGGCTGCATTGCTGCACTGGTTGCGTCACCAGCCCCATCTGCATCACCAACCCGAGCTGTGTCACCAGCTCCAGCCGCACTGTCACCCTGGTTGTGTCACCAATCCTAATCACCCCGATCATGTTGGCAGCCTTGGTCGCATCGCCAGGCCCAGCTGCGTCACCCTGTGGCTTTTCCCAAGGCCCCGGCTCCTGCAGTGCTGCCGGGCAGCGGGCGCCTCAGTTTTGGGCTGGCTCTGGCTTTCCCAAGGCGCTGTGCAAGGACCAGGCAGGCTCAGCGCTCGGAAGCAAAGTGTGTTTATTATTTTGTAAATCTGCTGATTTCGAGTCGGTCTTGCCCGAGGCGCCTGGCTCGCTGCCTGCGCGCTGGCAGCTGGCAGAGGTGCTCCCATAAGCCACACCTGCCCTGCCACCCCTGTGCCACCTCCGTCACCGCGCCGGGAAGGGAGAGCCAGCACTCGTCGGGAGAGTTTCTTTGTCCCAGATGAGCAGAGGCTGTGGCACCGCGGGCTCCATGGCCTCTGCAGTGCCCCACCATGGCTTGCTAGTGAGGAGGGCTTGTGCGGACCCCGTAATTCGCAAGTGTGGTGTTAATGAGCTGGCAGCGCGGTTAATTATCCACCCGCTAGTGGGAAGTGACAAGCCTCTGAAGTATAATTAGTGGCCGTTCCTGAAGGAAAACCTAGTCAGTGTGGAAGTGGGTGCCAGCCCATCCACCCGAGCTCTTGGTCTTGCTCCTTTTCCGTCCATGCTCAGCTCCAAGTCCTGCGTGGCAGCTTGTGGTGGCTACCAGCACGGAGGGAAGCTGGCCCTCGCTCCTTTCAGTTCTTATTGGGCTCCTTAGGGACCTTCCACCCGGGCAGGATCTTCCCCCGCTTCCCTGCCTGGGGGCTGGACCTCCCCTGCCCCGGCCCCCCCTGCTCTGGGGGGCTCCCCAGCAGGATCTCGTTGATGGAACTGAGCGTCAGGTTGCTGAAGACCATGTTCAGGTGGTCAACGCCTCGCAGCTCCTGGACGTGCACTTTCTGCTTTTGCTGGCCACGCCATCGCTTGCACAGCTCCGAGCTGCGCGTGTTGACGGTGTCGTCCCCGTCACCATAGATCATGTCCACGGGGTCCTCGTAAGGGAAATGTTCGTCGTAGATGTAAGTCTCCACGGTGGGGTAGCCCGTGCCGTAGATGCAATAGGTGTCCACCCCGGGAGGGGGTAAGCCCTTCAGCAGGTCCTTCATGTCCTCCCACATGTACCAGCCATCCTCCAGGTTGACGTCGGTGAAGAAGCGCCGGTAGTCCCGGTAGGTGTAGTTGTAGGAGGGTGTGGAGATGAAAACATGGGTCTCGGGCCAGGCCAGGCTGGTCGGGAACATCCAAGGGCTGGTGGTGGTCATGCGCTGCTCCTCCCGCAGCTTGATGTTGGACATGAGGGGGATGCCCTGGTTGTCACCTGCGGGACACTCGTCAGACACAGCACCGCAATGTACCCCAGCAAGGGGTGCCTCTGGGGACCTCCAAGGGTGCCCCCTGGGACCAGCCCATCCACCAGTGTCTCCCAGCTCTCTCTGGGCTATGGTTCCAACTCAGACCTTCCCCTGTGGACACCACACGTCCCGTCCTCACCCCCGGGCTGCAGATATCCAGAGCAACCTTTCCAACTGAACATCTCCAGCTGCTGGGAGAGGCTGAGCAGAGACAAACCCGGACATCCCATGGCTCTGACCAACCCCACCCCAGACTTTCCCCACAGCCCCGGCACCCCCACGCCTGCTGCAGGGACAGGGGTGAGCTGAGCCCCAGGAGGGGCTGGGAACGGGCGGGCAACCCACCTGCCTCCTGCAAAACTCAGCATTTTGGTGTGTCTGGAGTCCTGAGACCATGCAATGACCTCAGATTACCCTAAAAATGGCTCTGGCCCTTGTGGCAACTGAGAAAAATACAAGGCGGTGACTTAAGGGTGGTGCAAGGGGCCAGATGTTAAAATTTCAAGCACATGATTGTGATTCCATGCATTTTTTGGGAGGCTCAGCTTGTGACTTGTAGATATTCTGAGCTGTCAGCAGTAGGCAAGTGGTTGTGGCTTTCTAGGCTGGAAAGAGACTCAAAGAGGAACTGGGTGAACGAAGATTAAAGCCTGAAGATGGCAAAGCTGCTGGGGGATGGGCTTGGAGATGTGGGGAGATCCCAGCAAGCGGTGCAGGGGAGCAGGAGTGTCCCTGGGGTGGGCTCTGTGGCCCCCGCTGCAGAGGGGCGGTGGGGTTTGGAGCAAGGGGCCGGTACCCTGCACAGATGGAGGCAGCACAGGTGTCGGGGAGGCAGCAAGAAGCGGCTGAGCATGCCCCAAACTGCTTCCTTGGCCCTGAGATTTTGGGCCAAGCCTTTTTCTTGCCCAGGATGGGTGTTGTGGCTTTCAAGGAGCACCCCCAGCCCGGGAGCCGACCCTGGGTGTTGCGCTGCAGGAGAGCTGCCACGGAGGACAGGGGATGGACAGGCTGCGGATGGACCCTCCTGACAGCAGCTTTTCCAGACGCAAACCCACCAACCCCAGCGATGGAAACCACAGCAAGATTCAGCGCGCCCAGGGCCACT